CCCCCCTATCCTCTCTATAACCCTCACGATCACCCTTTCCACTTTCATCAACTCAAAGGAATTGAGTCCCAATGTTTTAGACACCCTAGATATTTCAAACTATAAATTCTGAAGGATCAAATAATCATAGTTTGAAATATCAAAGGTTTACGCCATCTGGTTTTAGAGATATGGGATTTGTGGCAAAGACTCAATTCCTTTGTAAACATGCAAATAAAATAAAACGCTTACACTGAAAGTAGTTCCTTCTGGAAGAAAGTTACTTCGCTTCTGCCTTAAGTTTGAAAACAGCCATTTAGTAAAAATTGGGAGAAATATTTTAAATCAAAATCCTAAAGCAGCTTACGGATTTCTTTAGTCTTAGACGAGCAACAAAATGACAGAACTTATTTTAGTTTAGAAAATCAGTGAGTTTTTCACATTCATTTCAGTTTTTAGTCTAAAATTCTAACGTTGGTAATCGCTTAAGGCTCAAGTAAAATTATATTGGCATATAAAAAACATCTAAATTCTGTTTTTACTTTTTTAAATGCTTTTCCTGTTTAGTGATAGAGTGGCATTTTCTGAAACCGTTAGTGATAGAGTGGAATTTTCTGAAACCGTTTTATTCCATTTATCAGATTCTCGCCTCTCTCTTCGCAGTCTTCGCATTCGCAAATATAATTCATAATTTATTCTGATCATTAGAAATAAACATACTTTTACCTCAAAAATTAAGTGTATAAAAAATAAGTAAACTTCATGATTCAAAAAGTGTATGACATTGATCAAATGATAAAAAAAAATTCACTTTTTGTAAAATTTTAAGGAAAGGCAATGAAATACATAGAATAAGCCTTTTGGTGCTTTTGGACAATGAAAATGTTTTCTTTGTAAAAAAAATCGACATTTTAAAATTTGACCGCAAAACAATAAACTTTTAAGGAAAGCTTTCATAAATTATTTTTATTTTTGTAAAAAGATTTTTACCTTCTTGATGTGTTTACATGAATTGGAGCGATGAATAAAACTAATATTAGAATTTTAACACTCGTTAACATTTTATCTGATGTATATTATGTATTATCCAGTCCTATCCTGTCCTATCCTGTCCTATCCTGTCCTATCCTGTCCTATCCTGTCCTATCCTGTCCTATCCTGTCCTATCCTATCCTGTCCTATCCTGTCCTATCTAGTCCTATCCTTTCCTATCCAGTCCTATCCAGTCCTATCCTGTCCTATCCAGTCCTATCCAGTCCTATCTAGTCCTATCCTGTCCTAACCTGCCCTATCCAGTGCTATCCAGTCCAGTCCAGTCCTATCCAGTCCTGTCCAGTCCTATCCAGCCCTGTCCAGTCCTATGCTGTCCTATCTTGTCCTATCCAGTCCTATCCTATCCTATCCAGTCGTATCCAGTCGTATCCAGTCCTATCCAGTCCTATCCTGTCCTATCCTGTCCTATCCTGTCCTATCCTGTCCTATCCAGTCCTATCCTGTCCTATCCAGTCCTATCCAGTCCTTTCCTGTCCTATCCTGTCCTATCCAGTCCTATCTAGTCCTATCCTGTCCTATCCTGTCCTATTCTGTCCTACTCTGTCCTATCCTGTCATATTCTGTCATATCCTGTCCTATCCTGTCCTACTCTGTCACGTGTAGTATCTGGTAGTATCCATGGCCTGCATTGTTTCAAGCAAAGGCAACTATATATACTACTCTACTAGGTTTCTCTAGACTACACTTTCTCCTGGAGCACTAGAATACATTGTAGACCCGCCATATACTAGTATACTAGAATATACTAGTATACTAGTATACTAGAATATACTAGTATATGGCGGGTCCTTAATCTGAGGCGCCACTCTCCTATACTGTCCTAGCCTGGCCTACTCTGCACTACTCTGTCACTCCTAGACTCACTAGCCTCACTAGCCTCACTAGACTCACAAGACTCACTATTGTAGGTTTCTATATACAGAACTGCAGCAAATTAATTTAATAGAGGACGTGAACCAATTGAAAATAATTTTGGATTTCTAAGTGAGTAACATGGATTGGATAGCTTTTATATTCTTCATTAGACATTGCTTTTCAGTGTACTGTTGTCAATCGTACATTCCATTCTGTAAATGAAATGTCACTTGAATTAAATTACGCTCACAATCCCTTAAAAAAGAACCTTTTTTCAAGTTCACTGTAAACGATGGGAAAACTAAAGTTCAGAAGAAAAACGTTGATATTTAACTAATCATTTAAACTAAACATTCAGTAATGATCTAAAAAAATCGTTTCGTTGAAGATTGTTAACGACGACCCTTCGTTAACCACAACCCTTCGTTCCGTCCTGAATGGTATTGTACTTATAATTGAGTAGTTTTTAAGAAAATATCAAGAAGTTTTAGCTCCCCCACTACTGTTTAACTTCATGTAAGACGACATTCATGTAAGACGTTCGTCGTTTCATTAACGATCGTTATCGACAACCCTTCGTTAACGATCGTTAACATAATTTTCAATAACATTTTTTTCAAAAACTATAATCGTATAAAAAACGATCGCAAATCGATTTTATAAAACGATCGTTTTCAAAAACGATCGGTATTAGTTTTTTAAAAGTTCAAAGCGTGTGGGTCGTTTTTAAAAACGATCGTTTCCAAAAACGATTAACAACCCTAGTTACATGCTATATTTATGACAAAATCCTAATTAATCTAATTCGCCTTATGTGAGATAGGATTTATAGATTTAAAATTTAGAGAAAAGAAATTGAGATTCAATTGTTTTAATATTGTACATTAATTGAGTTTGGGGGGGATTTATTTTCAAATATGCAAAAAATGTGAAATTATTAATGTTCCCCAAATAAATCTATATTTGAATTTTCAGTACATAAAGGATTCGCATAACTTTCGAGGTTGCAAAAGTCTTAAAAGATGCGTCCCCAAATAGGCATTAAGTTAAAAAAATTGTTATTCAAAAAAAATATTTTTCCCCTAAGAATCCTCTTTAAACTATTCCGAAAAGAACCTGAATTTCATTTGGGAGAGACATCTGCTACAAAACAGCTGAACCGATTGGTATTGTGGGACCTCACATGACCCCGGAGGGAAGCTTATGAATAATCATAATTTTAAAGAATCTAACCTAGAACCCTCCTCCAGTTCCTACAGTATGTTTGTACTTCTGACTTTGCCCAAAAAGAACAAAAGAAAAAGTGGGGGATTTCTATGCCTGCTTTGTCTCAACAGATTCCAGCACGAAAGGTTGTAATTTGGTACACGCACATTCGAGAACTAATCTTTGTTTAATAGACTGTGAAAATATATATAAATGTAAAATGTCCTTATAAACATATATATTTAGTATATACATAATTTTAAACTAAATATATACAAAATTTGATGTTAAAATTTTTCCAAATAGACATTTAGATTTTAAGTTTTGAATTCTCTAGGGTCTGGGTAAAATAATGCAGTTCCTTGTATTTTTATGGTTTATGGTATTCTTTAGTATCAGCCTATACTTCCTTTAAGTTTTCGCGAACACTCCATTTAAGTTGAGAATTGTCCAGCTTTAAGGATGGATTTTTTAAAATTCCACGTGGTGCCCCTTTTTTTCTGTCTAAATTTTGTTAATGTATAGATTTAAAAAAATTGAAAAGGGCAACTACCCCCCTCCCACCCAAGCTCTGACAGTTTCAGAGTCTTGACAAAAATATTTATTTAAAAAGGGGGGGAACGCACCTCTGACCCTTTAGTAAAAGTAAATTCTACCTAAAGTATAACCGCGTCAACCTTGTTGTACCGGCTAGTCCTATTGAGTGTCTGCTCTATTTACCCAATTTGTCCGGGCGATACAGTACATACTGGGACCGGAAAGGTTGACCCGGCTCAGAAATTCAAATGTACTACGGCTGCCCGTGGGGGTTTATATCGTTGGTTTAGCTAGGAAACACTCTTTTTATCCATTAAACTTTAACCAGGACCATACACATAGTTTTACACGTTTGTTATTGTGAATTCAGAATTACTGATCATAATATAATATAAACGTTAATCTTTCATTTCTGAGAAATATAAAAGGAAGCGTTTTTTGTGCATTTTGCCGGGACAGACAAAGTCACAATGGTCAAACAAATTATTATAATTGCTGAAAAATAGATTAATGATGAATGAGGGAAAAGGTTCATTTTCATTTTTAATTATTATTGCGATCACTGTATAATTCAGTGTTCCTGCTCAGGGGAAAAACAATTTCCATATTATATGACTATAGGAGATGCAGTGTCATCTACCAAATTCATAAACATTGCAGCATGGGACTGTTCTCAAATGTTTTCAATTAAACACTTAAATTCTATTTTTTTAACCCTGTTTGAATACGCCTGTATAAGCCTTTGATTTTTTAAAGCGATTTGATGTTAAATTATGATGTTAAATTTGCATAGGACATACAGCTTATAGGGCTGTTTTTAAACATTTCTTTGTTAATATCATAAACAGACTCTTTATAGATATTATTTTTCTTCCTGATTCATAATATACTCATGATTCTCTTAAATATGAGAGAATATAAACTTGGATTCTTGACTCATATACCACAGTCTTTTACAGGATATCTACGCGTCACAAGGAGAAGCTCCGCCATTTTAATCAGCTGATTAAACCGGTTTTCCACCTCGTGGGTTGATCAGCTGAATCTAAATTGTTTCCTTCAACGGCAAATATGGTATTTTGATTAAGTTTAATTCAAATTCAATTTAATTCATTTTAGATTTTACTGATGACTGTTAAGTTTACTTAGCTAAAAAATTGTTTAACAATTTTCATTCAAAGACTTACATTTTTTGATGTTTTTTACAAAATTACTCAAATTTTAAACACAAGTTTTGATGAAAACTTGAAAATTCTGTGATAACATAAATCCTGAAATCGACGTTGGTATAAATTTTAGTCCTTTCTTGACAAGTTACAATCTAAACAGTTCCTTTGAGCAAAAAGTAATAAATTCTAAATTTTCAGGGAGTTTTTGCGATTTTTTTCTCCCTGACTCTTCTTCTGCAGACCCTGGGGGCACCCACCAACAATATACCAAACTGTAATAATTCAAACTAAAGAATATGAAAAATATACAATTTTTAATATGTCTTACTTTGGAAATAATATTTTTGCTGTTTTCCCGGCTGATTTCTAGATAATACTTTATTTGGTTGTAGCAGATACTCTATCATTACCTTCTTGGCGAGAAAAATCGATCAGTTGGCCTGGTTTCATTAGTTGATGCCTAAATCGCATTACTGTTTGTATACAAATGAATAAAAGTGTTCAAGTTCACAAAACAAAAATTTAAATTTTTCTTTATAGATTAAATTGCATTTTAGTTTCAATGAAAGCTACTAAAACGTAATGTTTAAGTGACCCTGCATGCAAAGATAGCAATGCCCGATTCACAACGGTACCTTTGAAACCTTAATCTGCTTAAAAATGTGGAAGAAAACGCCGGAATCTACCTTAAAAAGGTTTTACTTATGTGAACTTTTTTTGTAATGTGTGTCATTAGTTTTCGTGTTTTGTTTATTTCTCTAATTAAAGATTCAAATTATTGATTTGATTTATATTTTAAATATTTTAGTTATTGTTTTTGGAAACACAATGATCCCCACTCCACTGATTGGAGCTGCTCTTGGAGGAGTTGGACTTGCTCTTGGAGCAAAGGGAATTGCTCTCTCATTGTTAGGTAAGACAGAGAAAACTGGTGTTAATTAATTAATTAATTAATTAATTAATTGTCCAGACGTTTGATAAGTATACCAGACTTTGAAAACAGAAGATAAAACTTAAAACCTACGAAACACGTTAAATTTTTCTTTTATTTCAAGTTAAATGTAATTTTAGGTTAAGCAAAAAAAATTAACGAAATTCACCGTTTTCGTTTTTAGCCCTTAATTATTTTTTAAAATGCCTAATCCGTTCCGGTTTTAACGGTCTTTGCCGGACACATCCGTTAATTTTCAAAAACCTCCGTTCCGTTAACTGAACTTAACCAGGTGTCCAAAAAATACTTTGAGAAAAATTTCTAAATTTTCTATTTGCATCCAATGTTTAATTATTTTTTATATCGAACCTTGAACTTTTCTGATAAAGGGCGCACTGGTGCATTTCCTGGTTAAGATGAAAATGTATTTTCAGGTATTTTACCCCCACTGTTCGATGATCCCTGTGGTTCAAACAGAAGAACAAGGTAAAATTAATGCGACAATGCTGGTCCGACTTTGTTGACTCGTAACTAGGGTTGTTAATCGTTTTTGTAAACGATCTTTAAACGATCGTTTTTTGTTTCGTTTTCAAAAACGATCGTTTCGTTTTCGGAAAAAAACGATCGTTTTTAAAAACGACCCACTCGTTTTGAACTTTTAGAAAACGAATAGCGATCGTTTTTGAAAACGATTATTTTTATTAAAACGATTTGCGACCGTTTTTTTATAAGATTTTTTTTTAAAAAAACGATCGTTTTTGAAAAAAATTTATTGACAATTATGTTAACGATCGTTAACGAAACGACGAATTCTATAAAAACGAGCATTTTGAAAAACGATCGTTTTAAAAACGACCAATTAAAAAAAAACTTTTAAAAAACGATCGTTTCGTTTTCGATTTTTCGTCGTCGTTTTCATAACGAAACGATCGTTTTTCTGAAAAATGAAAACGTTAACATCCCTACTTGTAACTCCTACTTGTTTTTGATTTTGTGAACAAGGATGAGAAAAGTAAACTTATCTGGTTACAATATAATGAAAACTTATCCGGTTACAATATAATGAAAACGTATCCGGTTACAATATAATCAAAACGTATCCGGTTACAATAAAATGAAAACTTATCCAGCTACAATATTATAAAATCGTATCCGGTTACAAGATAATGAAAATGTATCTGGTTACAATAAAATGAAAACGTATTCGGTTACAATATAATGAAAACTTATCCAGTTACAATATAATGAAAACATATCTGGTTACAATATAATATAAACTTATCCGGTTACAATATAATGAAAACGTATCCGGTTTCAATATAATAAAAACTTATCCGGTTTCAATATAATGAAAACGTATCCGTTTACAATATAATAAAAACGTATCCAGTTACAATATAATGAAAACGTATCCAGTTACAATATAATGAAAAAGTATCCAGTTACAATATAATGAAAATGTATCCGGTTAAAATAAAATGAAAATGTATACAGTTACAATATAATGAAAACGTATCCGGTTACAATATAATGAAAACGTATCCGGTTACAATATGATGAAAACGTATCCGGTTACAATATAATGAAAACCTATCCGGTTACAATATAATGAAAACGTATCCGGTTACAATATAATGAAAACGTATCTGGTTACAACATAATGAAAACGACTTTTTATTTAAGTTTCAATTGTTAACAAGCGTTTTTTAAATTAAAAGTTTATGAGTAATTACAGAGAAGCTTTTTTAACTTACAGTTTCTCTATTTTCTCATGTATTTATGTATCCCTGTATTTGAAAGCTTGAAATAAATCAAAATTGAAATCGAAAGTCGTCTTCAACATATTGAAACAATTTCGCCTGCCACCGTATTAGAAATTCAAAAAATTTTTGTTCTATTTAATAGCTCTCAAATAAGAGGAGTTAAATTCTAGTTTACTTTAGTTTTCACGATGATTGTCCAGAAGATGATCCTCCTCACTATGGTGCGCCGGCGCCAAGCTATGGTGCGCCGGCGCCAAGTTATGGGGCGCCAACTTCCTATGCGGCGCCTGCAACATCTTATGGCGCGCCAACATCATACGCGGCGCCTGCACCAACTTATGCCCAACCTGAGCAAACTTATGGCCAACCTCAGCATGGCCATGGGTTAAAGAGGCATATCCAAGGAATGCGTGGGTATGGCCAAGGTTATGACCAAGAGTATGACAAAGAATATAACCAAGGGTATGGCCAAAAGTATAGCCAAGGGTATGAAGAATCGAACAAAAATAGATACTATTATTTGTGAGTTGGATGTTACCCTGTTAAAATGAGATTTCTAGTCGTCATTATAAATATACAAACATGCGAAAAAAATGATAAACGTTACAGGGAGTGTTTAAATAAACCTACAAGAAACTGAAACAATGCAGTGGATTTTTCTCTGACGGTTTAACCCTGCACTGCCTGCCAGCCCTCTGAGCCCGAAATTTAAAAGAGTATCGTTGAACGAAACTCCCGAGTTTCCTTTTTGGGGTCTTTTTGATATTCCCTAAACTGCCTAACCCCATTCGTGAAACCGGGGTTCTAAAACTGGTTTTCACAATGATACCCTGTCTTAAGTTTTGGGCTCTGGGCAACGCAGGCGGAGAATTGTCGGGTTTCGGATTGTTCTTTTCCCATTTTTTTTAACTGAAACATCGGATAAGATGAACTTTGATAACATATGTGGCCTTTCCCATTTTTTTTGTTAAACCTTCCATTTTAGAAATAATTTTTTTGTTTCGCATCGTTTAGTTGTTGTTTTAAATAAAGTTTAAACATAAATAATACTTTTTGCAGTTTATGTTTTATTCTTTTTATGTGACATTTGTTAATTTATCAATAACACATTATATATATTATAAATTAATATTCAATCTGTTATACGATAAACACTAAAAGTTTTGTTTGTTCAAGATTGAATGAGATATCAATGATTTCTATTTAAAAAAATGTTCTACTGTGATTTCCTATAAAAGCAGACTTTTTGGTTAAAACAAATATGGAAGAAATTGCAAGACGGAGAACCAGTCATTTTCAAGATAAAAAAACAATGATATCTATGCACATTATTTATCAGATATATAAACCGAACAATACCTCTTAGAATGAAGAACTACTTGAATTTCAAACAACAGCCGACCCCTTCAATATAAACAAATGTAATCCTTTTATCTAACAAAAAATGTGTCACTCTCATTGAGAATTAAAGGACCGTAGAGTAGCAACGATACACCCCAATAAAAACTTTTGTTGAGATTGAAGGGTTTTTTACAACTTTTACTAGATTACAAGATTACATTTGAAGATCAAATTTTAAAAGTTTAAAACAGTAGATGAAATACCTAGTTTGTGTACAGAGATGACCAGAAAACTCTGGAATGGGACGAATACGTTTAAACTCAAGTTATAACTTTGAAAAGTCCAATGAGCATGAAATATAGAAATTTTGAGGTGTAACAAAACTTAATTTTTAAAGTTAAGATTAACATTTCTTAGTTGTAACAAAATCATTAAAACTTATGGATTACTATTGTCGTCTTTCTATTCCACAGTTTTCTGGTTCTCACTGAACTCTTAAAGGGACTGTAAAGAAAAAATGAAAGGGGGTATAGGATCAAACCTGAGAATCTCAGGCGTTGAACGATACATATAAGACATCTATCTGATGTTCCTGTCTCGAGAAATTATTTTGCATTCTTAATATATATAATTGATAATATTATTACATATAGTCCGTATAGTTCGTATCACGTCACCAGAACTTCTGCCAATGGCAGTATAGTATACTGGTCACGTGATTTCCGTCTGTATCGCGTGACAACGATACTGCACTGCCATTAGCTATACGGACTATATGAAATAATATTGGCAATTATATATATAAAAATACAAAATAAAAATTAAAAAATTATAATGGGAGCAAACCTGAGAATCTCAGACTCCTGTGGGATGTAATCGTTTTCAGATTGGTTGCGTACTTTGCTGAATATGATCTACTACTTTTTTACAAAGTTGTATATATATATTTGAATTTTTGTAAAATTTTGACTAAGTTTTATATCAATTTTTAGAGATAGGAACATCAGAATCAGATAGATGTTTTCCATGTATCGGTCAACGCCTGAGATTCTCAGGTTTCATACTATTCCCTCTTTCATTTTTCCTTTACAGTCCCTTTTAGTTTTGAAAATGTCCAGTTCAATTAATTACTGTAAAATTGATGGTTTTGATAACATTGCTGATCATTCATCTAAACTATAATTCAAGGTTAACAATCTTACTGATAGATATGTTTATAGATATATAATTATAAGATATATTTATAGATATATAATTATATATATATATATATAACTATAAAGCAATAATTGCAGAGTGCACACCTCCTCAGTTTGCATCTATATAATAAAACAAGACATTCGTATATATACATCTATATTTCGTATTTGCTGGACCGATTGGGCTGACATTTTTTGTGGACACTCATAGGTTGCCGGGGGATGTCATAGGCTAAAAAATCGAATTTTTATTTTCAAAAATTTTTAACAATTTTTTTTAACGGGCAACGCCGGGACCTTCAGCTAGTATTTATTAATACAAATTGTTTCAAATTGGTCCTCCGTTAATAAACAAGGTTAAACTCATTATTATAACATATAAATTTGGCTTGTCTGTCTGGGTGTCTGTCTGTCTGTCTGTCTGTTTGTATCCAATAAACGTCAAAACGGCTGAACCGATCGGGCCCAAATTTTTTGTGGGACATCTAGGGACCCCAGGGAAGGTTTATGAATGATTGAAATTTTTAATATGTGTCTCCAACAAAATTCGATCTTCATTAAATTTTTTAAAATTTTGAAAATCCACGAAATTTTTTGTGAAAATCCGCGAATTATTTTTGTTTTGTTTTACGATGTACACAAAGAGAACATGTTCACAATTAATTTAGAAGATGGGCGCGAAGCGCCCTCTAAGGCTAGTTATAATATACTTATATAAAGATATTATCAGTTTTAAATTCATCGTATATGTTTTGAATTGTGCGATGAAACCAGACTAATATTGAATACTAGCTTGGGAATCCAGCATTACCTAGTCTACCAGTAATAAATAACGATATTGTTTCCTATAAAAGTCGACTCACTCAACATAAAATCTTAAAACCAGGAACTTTTCTGTGGTTCTACTGAGTTCCTTAATGTGAGGAGGCAAATCGTTGCAGGGATCCATGAGTTATGATCGTACAAACAAACAGAGATTACAACATATATACATATATATATATATATATATATATATCAACTACAGTGATCAAAGCCGGACACTTCAGCTGAAATCTAATTAAAGACCAAGCGGGGGTAAACGGCGGGAGTAACTATGAGTAACCTGCGCAACGCCGGGCACTTCAGATAATCATAAATATTATTAAGAAAATGACAATTCATGTTATATTTTGCAGAATTTTCTGTTTTTAAGCAATAAAAACATAAACAAAATCTATTCAGTAAAGATTTGCATCGCAGTTAACGGTAAGGGCTTACCGAGTTTTCATCGTTAGATTGGATTTTAGGACCAATGCATCTAGTTCTTTGAACTAATGTGAAGGCCATAGTCTTATTTCTCTTTTACTTTTTATACTTTTTATGTAAGTTATGTAAAAAAAATTACCCCCCCCCCAGCAGGAATAGGGTTAAAGCTTTCAAGGTCCTGAGTGAATAAAACTATATGTAACTGAATTTCTCCCTAGCAATATTTTTAATTCCCTTGATTAAAAATTCTTCTTATTTTGATTTTTCAACGTACACTGCATTTTTAGAATGTCAGGCATTACGAAAGCTCTTCTATATTAGTAACAAGTCCGACACTGTCCTCGTACTGTACCGGGTTTTACATTTTCCTCAAAATTGACTATATTTCAATATTTCATTAAAGGGAGTGACCTGCTACACATGGTAGTTGAGCTGAAAGTGCAGTACTGTAAAATTGTTGGCACTTTTTTGTCGTCGTTATTAAATAATTTTAAAACCCGATTTTCTAAATGTATTCTCCAAAATGGAATATCAGAATTTCATTTAGCTCTTATTTAGAAATCATAAAACCATAAAAAGGTCTAAATTGAATCCTAAAAAAAGTCTCTAAAATGCTGCGTCACTCTAGTTTTAGTAGAAGTAAATATTTCCATTTACTGATAGCGCCGATTGAAGAATTCATAACTCTGATTGTATAATGAGATAGATCGAAAGATAGATGTTACCGATATACTATTTCTATTTGTTCAGAATAGACAACAAACACATGGTTGAACCCTGATTGGATCAGGCGCTAATGGGCTCGGCATATAGGAGTGGCGTTCTAGCTCCTACACAACTACATAGTGTAGCCAGTCACTCCCTTTAAAACTACGGCATTTAAGTAATTTACGCCGTATCCGCCTTCAAACTAAATACATCGTAAAGTGTTAGGATTTTTCCCAAGTGGCAATACCCCAAGTTGAAACTTTCCAAATGCGCAATTTCCCAAGCGACATCTTCCCAAGTCTGTCCTAGCTAGCGCCCCTTAGTCTATTCTAGCCGCGGCTCCTTGCCCATCCTAGGCGCAGTAATCGGTCCCCATTCAGTCAATCAGAGGGCCTAACATAAACTTTGAAAAGTTGCCGCTTGGGAAGTTTCAACTTGGAAAATTGTCACTTGGGAAGTCGCCCTTTGGAAAATGCCTTTGAAAAAAAATATCTAACACCTTTTACGATGAATCTAGTTTACAGTGTAAGTATAAAGAAAAATTAGAATTTTGTAAGAGCAACCTGCATGAGTTAAATAGGAATTTTAAATTGCAGTGATGCACACATATATTTTGTATGCATTACACGGGACACGGAGTATATATATATTCAAAAACAATAAAAAAAAATCACTAAAGATTTTAATACTAAAAAAGAGAAAAATAAATTGTATTATTTTGTGGCAAACATTTGATATTTGGAACACACTGTATTTAGAAATGCAAAATACTAGGAACAATTGGTGAAACCAGGAGAAAGTAACATTTTATGAGTCATTTGACCCGAAAAATGCAAACCATGGATGATAGTTTGGAAGCTTTTAATTTATATAATTATGCCTTCTGTTCGTATTTCATGCAGAAATCAAACGGAATTGAAAACTTGCCACAAAAAGTTTAAAATATGACAATTTTTTCAATTTTAGGTTTCAAAGATAAAGAGATTGGAAGATTAAAACTCAAAGATGTTCTTAGGCACGAATCACCATCGCGTTAAAAATTCTGTTTAGGAATGTGATCTAAAAAAAAGTTATCATTTTTTTTAGATCAAAGTCCTCGGAACTCAAATTCATTTCAAACAAATTACCTTTAATATGAAAATAATAAATATTAAAGGAATTGAGTTTTTGCCACAAACTCTAAGCTTCTAATCTCTATATATTTGCAACCAAATGTCGCTAGTTATTTCAAAATATGAATTCTGTTAGATCAAATAATTTAAGTTTGAAATATCCAAGGTATACACCATCAGATTGATAAGATATAGAGATTAGATATTAGAGTTTGTGGCATAGACTCATTTCCTTTCAAACTTTCCTTCACTATTCCTTTCCTTTCATTTTCCTTCTATTTAAAAAAAAAAAATTTAATTGGGGGGATATATTCCCACAACTTCTATTTTTGGAGGTTTTTCAATAGTTTCCCCTGAAGCACTTAATTTCGTATGTTTTTGTTATATTTCATACATAAATAAATTCTTACTTAATTAGACTAATAGTTCTAGATCTCAGAATATACATGTTTGATTAATTGAAGTAAAGATAAAAAGATAACAAGAGAAAGTTTGGAAAGTGAATCCTCAAAATCCCCCCAAGATTACTGAACATCTGGACATTTATGTATTGTACTGCATAACCTCCACAGTCCAACACTTCCCTAACCAAATGCTGCCACCTGTTATTCTATAGTCTAATAATTACTCTGCAGGAAAAACATTGTGTTGATGAGAAAACATTTATTTAAGTATTTAAACATTGTAAAGAGATTCAAGAATCAACATGAGTGTATAAATTATAAAAATAATGTTTGGTTTTTTAATCAATAATACTGAGAAAGGTAACGGTAAAGGAACTTTAAGCATATATCAAATACATATTTGAAAACAATTTAACGAATTTTTAAAATATGCAATTAGTGCATATGACGTTGATTTCATTCTTATAATTCAAATTTATTTTGTCGAGTGTATGCACTGTAAACAAAGGTTTTAGTAGCACAGGGTGTGTCAATAAAAGTCTCTAAAACTTATCAAAATCTTATCAATAATTTTTTTTGTGTCGGAGAAATTTACAATGAAATCTAGAAAAATTTCTTAATTTCTGATAAAATTTGAAAGTTAAAAAATAACAGATCACAATTCGACAAATCCATGATTAGTTTTCAGTAATTTTCCGGGGGGGGGGGGTTATGTTCCGCGAAAATCATGTTTTCTGAAACTCCCTGCATTCTACTGATTAAAGTTTACTGAATTCCACAGTTCGTAGTGAAACCCTAAAAACGCTCCGGGGAAATTAGAATTCAGCATAAAAAAATTAATCATAGAATTAGTTTTCTGTACTTATATACTGTACTGTTGTAACCAAACTTTTTAAAAAAAATTAGAATTTGCTTGTACTGAGTTTTTTGTGGTAACGATAAAGATTAAAAAAGTTCAGTCAAAGAACGTCAATACAGGAATATGGCATCTCACAGATATTTGTAGTTTTTCCTTATCCTGGGGGGGGGGGGTAGCCCCCCACCCATAAAGTCATTTTTTGATGAATTCTTTTGCATTGTTTAGAACTCCTTTGTCACTGTTAAACCTATCGTCCAAAAAGAAGAGAGAAAATAGATTTGGAATTGTTGGGTTTCCGTCCGTCATAACCGTCCTTGGGTCGTCTATTCCTGGGTTCAGGGGAGAAATATCGTCCGAAGAAATACGGATATCCAGAGTATTTTGGCGGTTTATCATTGAACGATATTTTCACAAATCGGCGAAATCTGTTTAGTTTCACGGATTCCAGAGGAGAGGTTTCAGGCAATGAATATTGCTGTTGGGATGAAAGGGGGAAAGAAGGGTGTGAAGAGAGATAAGAATCTGATGAATGTCGAGGAGATGAAAATGAAGATTGAAGAAATGATGCTCTGGAACTAGAATCAACTTGAGAATGAAGAAGTACAAGCAGCAGACACACAAACTCCTGCAATATTTACTAAATAAGACATTTTTTAATACAGCATGGATTTCTGTTTATTATGAATTATTGTTAAGATTTCGTAATCTGTAAATTATTTTAATTACTATAAATCTGCCCTCAGCTGAAAACTTTAGAATAAGCGGATATCGAGATCAATTCTTGATCTCCTCTTTTTCTTGATCTCAGATATCTATGATAGTCAAATCCAGAGATCAGAAGCCGGGAAATTTTCCATTACAGTTAATTAAAATTAATATACAGACTCGGGAGGGACTCTCTAATTTTGATAAACCTGTTTTTAATTTGTCTGCAATAACCAAAAAGAGTGGATTAAGCAAGACATTAAAAGTGTCCACATTGGATATTCAAATTAAGCGATCAGGATTAAAGGTTTCCAAAGTTCCCTGCTCTTCAGTCAGAACTATTATGTTGTGAATCTCGAAAATTTATCTCCATCAGAGTCTGAGCCGGAAATTTAAGAGTGTATCGCGAAACGAAGCTTCCGAATTTCCTTTTTTAAGGTATTTACATTTGAGTAGATTAAAATTTATGAAGTGTGAAAACAAAAAGAGAATTTACAAAAATAATATTTCAGAGGTATCTACAAAAACACCATTTAGGAAACCGGGGTTCATGGAGATATTCTGTCTTAAGAAACTAGATCCATACTTAATACATTTTCAATTTCTTGTGTGAATCATGCCCTGCAGGGGTAGTTTAAATGAAGAAATCAAGTCTTGATGCTTACTTTTAAAAGCTTAGTTACATTATTATTAACAAAAGGATTTTTTATTGTTTCTACTCAAATGCAGGGAAAAGTGAAAAAGAAACATGTCTAAATTGGGAAAGTACACCCTTACNTTTGATATTGATTGAAATATTTGTTTGTTTTGACAATAAATCTTTAATATACCGTAATATTTGCGTATCTATTAGGCTGAACCCTGAGAATATATTGTATTAATAACGGAAGTATTATGTAGCAAGGATATTATAGGCAAGGTGGGACGATTAGAAGAATACGCATTTAATGCTATAACGTAGATCGAAGTAGGGGGGGGATTTTTTGTGATTGAAGTTAATAGGAATTTTGTAAAAAATGTTTTTATCACAAAGTAAGTTTTGCATAAAAAAATCCTACAGTACAGTCCAATTCTGGCATTGACATTTACTTTACTCCCCATGCTGTAAAATATACTTATACATCCAATAAACCTTGTATTTCGACAACATAACAACAATGGGAACAGACAGTCACTATCCTACACGCGCACATACCCTCATTGTAGCCTCTGCTCAACTAAACATTCTTACAGATATACATCCTTTATATAAGAGTACAGGGTGTACCAAGATATCGGATATACATCCTTTATATTAGAGTAGAGTGTACCAGGATATACATCCTTTATATTTGAGTACAGTGTGTACCAGGATATCGGATATACACCCTTTATATTAGAGTACAGTGTGTACCAAGATATCGGATATACATCCTTTATATTAGAGTAAAGGTGTACTAGGATTTTGGATATACATCCTTTTTATTAGAGTATAGGGTGTACCAGGATATCAGATATAAATCCTTTATATTAGAGTACAGGGTGTACCAGGATATCGGATATACATCCTTTATATTTGAGTACAGGATGTACTCCGATATACATCCTTTATATTAGAGTACAGTGTGTACCAGGATATCGGATATACATCCTTTATATTAGAGTGCAGTGTGTACCAGGATATCGGATATACATCCTTTATATTAGAGTAGTGTGTACCAAGATATCGGATATAAATCCTTTATATTAGAGTAGAGTGTACCAAGATATCGGATATACATCCTTTATATTAGAGTACAAGGTGTACTAGGATTTTGGATATACATCCTTTTTATTAGAGTATAGGGTGTACCAGGATATCAGATATAAATCCTTTATATTAGAGTACAGGGTGTACCAGGATATCGGATATACATCCTTTATATTTGAGTACAGGATGTACTCCGATAGATATCCCTTATATTAGAGTACAGGGTGTACCAGGATTCATTCTTTATATTAGAGTACAGGGTGTACCAGGATACATCCTTTATATTAGAGTACAAGATGTACCAGGAAACATCCTTTATATTAGAGTACACCCTGTACCAGGATACATCCTTTAAATTAGAGTACAGGGTGTACCAGGATCATATCCTTTATATTAGAATACAGGGTGTACTCCGATATATATCCTTTATATTAGAGTACAGGGTGTACCAGGATACATTCTTTATATTAGAGTACAGGGTGTGCCAGGATACATATCCTTTATATTAGAGTAAAGGGTGTACCAGGATACATATCCTTTATATTAGAGTACAGGGTGTACTCCGATATATATCCTTTATATTAGAGTACAGGGTATACCAGGATACATATCCTTTATATTAAAATACAGGGTTATTTATAAGATTCGTGTATGAAACTGTTTGGATTAAATTATTAATTTTTATTGACATCTACAATTCTTGTTCAAGCATATTGATAGTTCTGTAGAAGTAAATTTTATATTCCATGGGGCCTGATTCACAATTCTGCCTTTCAAACCTCTTCCTTGTTTTTTATCTAAAAAATGAGAGCAATTTTCATTTTTAATTAAATAGAGGTTATTTTAAAGGGAGTGTTCGTGAAAAATGAAATCAATTGTGATCGCTACTAATCTTACTTCTATCTGTTGCGTCATATGCTGAAGAACGTGGCGTCCATAGAAATTTAGAAAGTTGCAAAATTCAACTCGGATCGTAAAATAATCAAATTTAATTCCAAACAAATTATTCAGATATTACAACCTATAATCATCGACAATTTTTCTACTCATTCGTATATAGTTGATATTTAAAAATGTGTATGATTTTTTAAAAATAATATTTAGCTTTCAACTTGTTTTCACGGCTGGCGCTGGGTTTTTGAACATTCCTGGAAAATATGAAAATGTCGTCTTCATTATCAAAAAGCCTCAAAACAGGATTAAATGTTTTCAAAGGTAACTATCGTATTATGAAATATCAACTACATTAAGTATGGCAGGATTGAACTCCGATAGGAAGAAGTTAAATTTTGGCAAAAATACTGTGACAACTGTGCAACCTTATTTTTACACAAAAAAAATTTTAAAACATGCAAAGATTGATTCTTATCGATGGTGTTTCAAAATCTTTGTTTGTATAAAGTGTTCGACGTTTATTTTAATATAATAAAGACGACTTTTAATTTTTAACAAGTTTTTTCCAAATTACGAGCTTACAAGTAAACAAGGAGAAGCTGTTCATTGACTCATTCTCATTGTTTAAAAGCTGGGTAGAAATAAAAATTTAAATCGAAAGTCGTCTTCATTGTATTGATATATGCGACGACGGCTGTGGTGTAGAAATAAATTCAACCTTGAAAATATTTATGGATGTTTTCACGATTGTTTAAATCTTATTCATACATGGTTACTCAATCTTATTTATACATCCTATGAGTACCGGAACATATGAGCAGGTGGGAGTGGGCATCTGCTATATAGTCTACAAGAAGAAGTGGGCATCTGCTATATAGTCTACAAGAAGAGGTGGGCATCTGCTATATAGTCTACAAGAAGAGGTGGGCATCTGCCATATAGTCTACAAGAAGAGGTGGGCATCATTTTTGAAATGCAAAAATATTGATTAGGGATATAGTTTATAAATTAAAAACGTAACGATAATTCTTTTAAATGATCGTTTTAGAAACGATCGTTTTCTTTTTTATTTATATAAAAACTTGTAAATCTGATAAAATACTAGAATATTACATAAATATTTATGTCTATTGTCATGTTTCTGTAAATTTGACCCTTATGCACTTTTTATTAAAGGGACTGTACGAGTAATGACAAGTGACCCTTCATGTAAAGATGGCTGATGCGAAGGATTTAATGCAAGGAAAGTTATTTCAGATGTGTACGCATCTTTAGTACTGCAGTGTATTGTCACTGGGCGGTAATGTAAACACAAGACGGATGTCACAGCCTGACATGGGATCCATCTTTTACATAAAAAATCAATGGAATATTCTGCTCATAGGAAACTATTATGTGAATTATCATAATTATCAAAATTTAATGCTTTTAACCTCCTCGGATACTAAACTAACACTAATGCATCTATTCTTGTTTACAAATTCCTCCCAGAGAGAACTGGTTTTAATATTTACGCAGAGTGTACGCAACTACAAATAACTTTCCTTGCATTAAACCTTGGCCTGATTTACAACCGTACCCTTGAAACTGTTTAAAAAATATAATTTATAGTTATCAGGCAAAGTTTTCAAGGGTACCGTTGAGATTCGGGCCTTGACATTTTTGCATGGAGGGTTACTTGAAATTACGCTTACAATCCCTTTATATATATCTACCTTTAATGTACCTTGTATTTATAACATAGTTTTACTCAACTTTCCGGGAAAAATTGCTTCAGGAAAATTATATTTGTTTATGACAGGGAGTCAAAATAAACACTCCTGGATTTGACAATCATAGATAAAACTCGTCTTTTCCTGCGCAGCACTTGTTTATCATCATCTTTAAACCTGTCCTTTATCATTATCTCGATAATTTACGGTAAGATTAATTGCAGTTTTACATTTGAGATTTCAAAATTTGAAAAAAAAAAATTCGAAAATTAAAAAAATCAACAATTTTAAAAATTCGAATCCATGATTATTGGAACTCCCTGCAACCGTGTACTATATATATATTTGGAAAACATTATAAGCCTGTATCAGTTCTCCTCTAGTTTCTCCTTAAATGTTATATAAATCATGGTAGGTAACTTAAAAACTAGGATTTGCGGTTTTTCTCATTTTTTTTATTCTTCCGAAAGCTTCATTTTCAACGACAAAAGAAACTGTAATATTATATTAGAAAAATCTGAAAAATGTTTTGAATAAAATTCCAATTATTTTCGATACATCAATTCTTGGTGAGAAATTATTTGCTGTCAGAATTTACAAATGCCACTATTTTTTTCGGGGGGATGGAAATTTTCACCAACTGAATTATGCATACCTTTAAAAAAGCTAGTTTTTTGGTATGTTTAAATTCTAGCTCTTTACAAAGGAATGACATTTAATTTAATTTAAAATTAAAATTAATGAAAACATTTGTTGCTGTCTTATCGATTTCTTATAAACTCTATTAAGATTATAGGATAAATTTGATTTACAATATATTTTTTAAACGATATAAATTTACACACAAAAAAGAAAAAAATTGAAATCTTACAATATTGAATCTGCTATAATCAACACTACAATTTGGTATATTAGAAATGTTTATAGAAACTGATGAAGACAAGCAAATTTTTCACAAACATTAGTCATTAACTGTAGTCCAGATAGACTCGGAGATAATAATGGCATTCGCATAAACCCAGATTCGTGGGGATACGCAATTTAGTGACAACCAACTTTCAGATTTTAAGTTGAAAAATTATATCATTTATATAAACACAAAAATATAAAGGTGAGGATATTGGACCCTGGCGTACACCAGTTTTCACGTTAAAAGGTTGAGAAATAACATCCCATCTCACATTATATTTAATATCATCTAAAATCTATAGAATTATATTTTTCAGGAGTATTTTGACTATATCCAGGAGTACTTTGACTATATGATTCTTGATTTGTTTGGATACGATAATTATGGTAAGCTTTTTTTTTACATGTAAAATGAATGAAGTCTTTGCAGCAAACTCTTATTTCTAATTCCTTGTAACATAATGACGTAGACCATAAATATTCTAAACTATGATTTATGTTAAAAGTTTAAAAATCAGGTTACAAAGATATATAAGTGTTAGATGATGTTTGTACGTGCAGACAATGACTCGATTCCTTAGTTTTTTATTAAACGAATTTGAAGACCCTGGATTAAAGTACTAAAGGAATTGTCAACGGAATTTCAAGTGACCCATTTTTTATAGAATAGTATGTCTGATTAATAATGGTACCATTAAAAGGTTTGTCTTAACAAGAATTAATGAGTTATTCTATGTTTCTTTTTATTGGGGTTACTAATTAAGAGTGACTGGCGTATATACAGGGTGTCCCACGAAATATGAGAGTGGAGAGAAAGAGTTGAATATCGTCTTTGATCTTAGAAATACTATGCAGCATTCATTTTTCAACCTACTTTAGCATGTACGATTCATAAAACAATAACCACAAAATTCACCTATTCCTGACATTTCCAAAATGTGGTCTGCCCTTTTAGTGCTTTAAATATTAGCAAAGAAATGAAGAATTTCTTTATGATTTCGACAATTTTGGTTTTATTATATGATATCATATATTGATAAAATTAAATTTGATCGAAATTCTCCATCTCTCAGGTAATATTGACGCACAAAAAAGTTTGGAAATGCCAGAACTAGGATAATTTTTGGTTATTGATTCAATAATCATACACGTGAAAGAAGGTTGACCCCCTGAATGTCACAAATAAATTCAAATATCAAAGACGACTTTAAAATCGTCTTGCTACTGTCATGTTTCTTGGGACACCCTGTACCTGTTTATAAAAACAATAGGGGTTTATTTTCAGAATTAAAAACGACGATATCTTCCACTTTATTGATCAGAAAAAGGTTCTAAGGTACCTTGACTAATCGGACATGTCCCTCTTTCTTGCAATGAAGGGTGACTTAAAATGTCTAGAACAGTTTTGTTTACGAAATTGGAGATGTGTGTAATCTCAAATTACTAATTGCTGATTATTGAGTTAAGTTTTAATACTTAAACTTAAAATAGAAAATGTCCAGGAGATAAAACAAATGTTTTGGTATTTTTTTTATTTTTTTTTACTTTTTTAAAATTACTTGTTTGTTTATAAATTTTGAGTTTTGTTTATTATCGTTTTTTTGTTTTTTGATATTTTTGGTCGTCTTCTAAATATTGAACTGTGAACGCGTGATTTATAGTGACCCACCGTACCAAGATGGCAATGCCCGATTCACAACGATACTATTTGTCTGCTTTTGTCTGTTTTGATGCCCGATCACAACTCATGAACCCCTAAACCAATTTGGCTGAATTTTGATTGGGAACCTTATTTTTTCAAAGTTTTTTATCAAAACTTAATACAAAATTGTTGTAAGTTATTGAACAAAATTACATGATTAAACAGTATTTTCTTTATTAACTATTTCCTACTTGTATAACTATTGTATAACTCCGCCGTTCGCCTTTTTTCATATTGTTCATTCATCATTGGCGAACGCCCCATTTAGTTATTTTTTTAATCGATAAAAAATTGATTTCTATTGTTCTCAAAACTATTGTTCATTTTCGGCTTTTTCGTTCATTTTTTCGATGAACGATCGTTCAGTAAAATCGTTCGTTCCGCCAAAAAAAATAATAATTTTTTCGAAAGTTTGTTGCAAAAAAATTTTCAAGTTCTTTCGAAATGTTTAAATCGTTAGTTTTATTTCAGTTGTTTTAAAAAAAAATATCGTTTTTCATTTCTTAGAACAATCCAAGTTATGCATCCATTGTTAATTTTTTTTCTTAACAAAACCTTCGTTCTCGAAAAATTTTGTTCGTTCACAAAAACGATTCATATCTCTAGTTCATAAGCTCTCAGATAAGAATGATAATTATGTGTATTTTCCTGATACCCACTTCCCGAGTGGCAATTTCCACTGCTGCATGCAGCAATATGGGTCGAGCACTGAGGCTAGGATGGAATTCGGGGCCGAGCGCTTTGGCAAGGCTGGGATGTGGGGCCAAGTGCTGCAGCCAGCACATATTTGGAAAGTTGCCACTTGGGAAAAAAACCTTGGGAAGTTGCCCTTGGGAAAGTAAATAAAATCTATATTTCCAGATGCTCCGCAGAATTCTACATATATGACACCATGTTACTGGATGTTAGTGCCCACTGCTATGATGGGAATGATGACCACAGGTTAGAAGTACTCATGGCATCGTTGTAACCTCCATTTTAAGAAATATAAGAAACTTTAGAGTCATTCACAAAAATGTGAGTTACTTAGCACATCCCCAAATTGCATTCTCAAAATGTATTACATTATGCGAATTTTTTTCTCTGATCAAATATATTAAACAAAACATTTGTTAAAAACAAAACGAAAACGAAAAACGAATTTACTAATCGTTTAGAAAAATCGTTTTAGTAAATATCTTTGGTCAGAGTAAAAATTTAGCATTTAATGCGATAAAAGCATACTTATCTCAGATTCTAGTAAAATCTCCTAAGAATCTGAAAAACTATAACTGTTTAAAAAACGAACCTCAAGTCATAACTAGGGTTTCCAGCAATCGAAACCTTTCGCGAAAAAAATGCAAAAATGTTTGGTCGCCTTTCGTAAACTTTTTCGCGAAATTTCGCATTTTTTCTATAATATGTCTGATATCTCCTAGTCGTTCTTAAATCTATATTTATATTTTGTGCTAACTGTTAATCCATCAAATGGCCTCGTGGATAAATCCCTCTTTGAAAATGAGTCTTGTATTCTCAAAATTAAGTCTTTTTCGCAACTTTTCCGCTAAAATGTTGCATCTATTTTTAAAAATTCTGTATTTTTAGCAAAATTTTCGCATTTTTTCACAAAATTTTCACATTATTTTTTTCGCGAAATTTCGCTTTTTTAGGGAAATGATCGCATTTTTTCGCAAAATTTTCACATTTTCTATTTCGCGAAAATTTCGCATTTTTTGCAAAACGGATTGAAGCGAAATTTCGCGAAAAAAAAGGAAAATTTTAGCATTTTTCGCGAGCGAACAAAATGCAAAAATGAAGCGAAATAGTCACAAAAAATGCGAAATTTTTGCGAAACGATTTTTCCTTTTCGCTGGAAACCCTTCTCATACCAATGCCCTCCACTAGTTAGAAGAAGGTTTATATTCCATCACAACAGAATGCTTTAAAGGCTTAGACTGGCTGAGTAAGAGGTTTCCATAGAAGAAAAAATGAAAAACGAAACAAACATTCTTCCATAAACTAATTTGTTTTCACACTGTAAAAGCGTCTTTTTGGTATCAAATTAATTCTAAAAATTTTCTCTGTAATACCGCAGTTTTATTTCAAAGCTATGTTACCTTGCCAGTGTCTTCCTTTAGATAATGGTGGTACCTGTAATTTAATGCATCAAAATAATCCATGTACACAATGCTAAACCAACTTGTCCATATGCTACGACAAAGGAGCTGATGTTTCATTTTAAACACTTGTGATTTATTAATTAATTCCCTTTTTAAGTGCATAGAATAGAATAAATATACAATTAACTGAAGCTGTCCCCAGCATGAAACACTGTGTTTATTAATTAATTCCCTTTTTAAGTGCATAGAATAGAATAAATATAAAATTAACTGAAGCTGTCCCCAGCATGAAACACTGCGTTTATTAATTAAATGTTATAAAGAGAATGAAGTTGACATGGTTTCACGAATAGAACAGAAAAAACGTATACATATTTTTAGGTTTAATCATCCGTGAACTTTTGAGAGCTAAAGAGGATCCAAATGAGGATCCAAATGAGGATCCAAGAAATACACCACCCCAGTATCAACCTAGTTATGGATTCAGTAATGGTTACAATAGATATCAAACTCTGAATTATGAACTGCCAGACATGGGCTATCAAACCCCTGCACATAGCTATTTTGCCCCTAAACCAACAATTAAGTATAACACAAATAGCTATCCAGGATTAGTGGCGCCATATGAGACAATTGAAGATAGTTACAAGGCCCCAAGCCATATTTACAATGCTCCATTGACTACCTACGAACCTCCTAAAGGCATGAATAGCATTGGCCTTAGTTTTAAACAAGGTGAACTCCAATCCCCACCAGTTCCTAGAACGTTTTCTTCCTCTAAAGATTATTTCTTGGATGACATTGTGGATATCCCTAATGCACCTTCCAATGAAAACAAAAACTACCGAGGGAGCACAATATATTACGACTTCCTTGAAGGAGAACCGTGCGACTACCATGCAGACACCCGTTCTGATAGAACACTTCTTTCTGACAACCAAATATTTAACAACTTTAAAGCACCACCACCAGATTATCAAGAAGGTATCTACTCTGAAACTCCACTCCTAAGCTACCAAAGAGCATCACCATCTAATGACCAATTAGCTTTTTATTCTGATTTAACATCATCTGTCTACCCAGGAGATAATTACCTTAAAGCATTGCCATCAGATTATCAAGAAGGTATCTACTCTGAAACTCCACTCCTAAGCTCCCATAGAGCATCACCCTCTTATGACCAATTAGCTTTTTATTCTGATTTTACATCATCTGTCTACCCAGGAGATAATTACCTTAAAGCATCGCCATCAGATTATCAAGAAGGTGTCTACTCTAAAATTCCAATCCCTGGCTACCAAAGAGGTGCTTCTCACCATTCAGCTTCATATTCTGATTTTACATCATCAGGCTATGGAGCAGATACATACCTTACAGCATCACCATCAGGATATGAAACAGGCGCAAACTCTGAAATTCCACTCCCCGGCTATGCAGATGCATCAGGTTTCTTCTCTAAAATTCCTCTCAAAGGCTATAAAGTAGCATCACCCTCTACTGACCAATCAGCTTCATATTCTGATTCTACATCATCTGGCTATGGAGCAGATAAATACCTTAAAACATCACTATCAGAATATCAAGCAGGCGTAAACTCTGAAATTCCACTCCCTGGCTATGCAGAAGCACTACCCTCTAATGACTAATCAGCTTCATATTCTGATTTTACATTATATGGCATGGATCAGATAAAAACCTTGATGCAACACTTTAAGGATATGAAGCTGATGTCATCTCTGAAATTTGACTCCACACGTACTAAATAATGTAATAGTTAACAGGAATCTCATTTGTTCCATAAAGAAAACAACGGTTCTCCCTGAATAATCATTATCCCTACAACAGTCACGATTTTCCTTAAAGGGAGACACTGGCATTGTAATATATTTGAGCTGAAAGTGCAGTATTGTAGAGAAAAAACTTTAGGATTCATTTGATACCAATTAGACATCTTTAAAATGTACAATTTTTAAATAAGAGAATTAAGTCGTTTGTATAATTTCACCAGTTGTTTGAGCCAGCAGAAAACACGTTTTTTACAATTATTTAATAACCTTGGGAAAACATAAAAAAGAAAATAATTTATAAACCAATTTGCTGTTTAAGAGCATATTTCTTGAAAGAAATTATTGATGAAAGCCATTGTAAAACCGTAGAATCAATAATTTCATCATCACTATCACCCTTGTTGTACCTAATATTATTTTCGTAGATTTCTTTAAAATGTTGTATTCGCAATTAAAAAATAGAAAACCTCGTCAAAAATTGCCTCCCTACCTAAAAAAATTTCCATAAACCTGCAAGACTTATAATTGAATTTTGATAACATATTTCCAATGATAGAATTTCCTTATTTTTCTCAACCTGTTTGTATACGTACAACTACATTTGTACAGGGGTCAATATAATTCCCAAAAAAGCTGATTTTCTCGATCCCAAAATAATTTTTTGCCCCCAATTTTGAAAAAAATGCCCCCAGTTAAAATTTTTTTTTCAAATTCCACTAGCACATTAGCCCCATTGCCCCCAATTTGAAAAAAAATGCCCCCAATTTTTAAAAAAAATGCCCCCAATTTTTTTTTAAATTATCATATAAAAAAAATTTGCCCCCAATTAAAGAATTTGCCCCCATTTCTTTCAAATTTGTCAATCCCAAATGGGATTGAAAAGGGAATTATATTGACCCCTGCATTTGTAGAATAGAATTTGTTACATGTTTTGTCCATGTTATTTAAGAATTGTAAAAAAGCGCTTCCTATGTTGGTTGAAACATCTGGTAAAATATTACGACTTTATGCTCTTATTTAAAAATTGTACACCTAAAAATGTCTCATTGGTAATAAATGGCGTCAAACATTATAGAAATTTCTCAAAAATATAAGAAATGCTCTCCCAAAAAATACGCCTTGTTGCTATACCTAGCGATTTCTATACGTTGGATTTCTATAATGTTTGACGCCGTAATAAATTAATCCTCCATGCAAAGATGACAATACCTGATTCACAACAGTACCTTTGAATTCCTTTACTTGTGTAGAGAAACCACAATCAAAACTAACCAGTTTTCAAATTTTTAACATTAAAATCTTATTCACACTAGATCAGACAAAATTTTTCAGGGTGCAGTTGTGAAACAAGCATTGCCTTGTTGCATGGAGGATAACGTGTAATTATTTTTTTATTTGGAGGACTGGATATTGTTATATTTCTTTCTTTTTTCTTTTGTACATGCATAGTTTTAATGGTGACGGAAATATTTTGATTTTTGTAATGTAGATATATGTGTTTAGTGTTGAAAAAAAACCAAACACTTCACACTTTTTTCTCTCCCAGGCTTAATTATTGTTGGATCATAATAAAATTTATATCACAGTGTCTCTAGAACGTTAGGACTACATGGTTAAAAAAAATCGGATTTGGTCAACCCTGCTCTGAATAGAAGCTCTTTTATCTCTAGGGGACGGATTTGATCAACTACTGACTGGGATTTCCTATTCTCTCCCACATTGCTTCAGTCTAGATGATAGAGATTTACATATTTCTTCCTTGCAACCTTCTTTTTTGCCATGGCATAACTTCGTGGTTATTGTCAGGTGTAAACCAAACTATTGCTAACACCGAGAAGGCAGATACTCCCCCAGTGAATGGGATTGGGCCCCAGTGGTGGATTATGCTTTCATCCCCCCCTCCCCCCTCCATAATCTCTTTGTCGGAGTTGCCATTAACTTTGAGTCCAAGATCTTTTTTAAAATCAAATATATTAGTTACTCTCTGTTTACGTTATGAATCCCTATCTGTCTCCATGTCCAACCTACGATTGATGCTGCACTGATTTTCTCTTTAGTTCTTTTTGTGTATATGTTTTTTTTTAAATGTTATAATTTAATTAAAGAATTTGGTTAACAGGGGGGCTCAGCTAAAACAGCCCCAGGCTATTGAGTCCGCCTGCTGCGGAAAATAATATTTTACATATTGTGATTTTTAAAAATTAATTCGTAAATATTGTTTTTTTTTCTGCAGAAATAAATGATTTGATTTGATTTGATTTGATAACAGTAAAAGAGGCTGGCTGCAGTGGCTGTTTACAAGCTTTGTCCTGCCAGCAAGCTGAGCCCTCAATAGACCGTGTTAGAGTTGATTCACAAAAGGAAAAGCTTTAGGATAGGAAGGTATACTGCTTCTTGCATTAAAATATGGTCCAATCAGCTTACAGTAATCGTCCCCAGCAGTTGTTCTACTTCTTGAAGGAGACGTGAAGAAACTGGTTCTGCATTTGTCTGTAAATGGTGGGTTTATAGTGTCCTCCAAATTGGTGTTTGGTCATATTAGCCCCACCCTTAACTTGTAATCTGAAAAATAACAAAGCTTTTAAGAGTTATAAGCTTATATTGAACACCTTTAAATAAATTTTTGTAATTTTTAAGCAAATTCTGGATTTTCTTCAGCTTTAATATTTTTTTTTGCCTGTAGGCTAATCAGTTTTAATCCCCAAGAGATAAAGAGCATTTATTCAGAGTAGTGCACTCTGGGCCGTAGTAAATTTTAATTAGAACAGGACCTGCCCAGTTTGTACCGGCCTGCCAGATAACAGCGTGTACTGACCCAATCTTATGTGCCTTGTCAGAACACAGATGACCATATTCTGTACAGTACGTCGCCCTAACCAGACTAACATACGACAGGGGTCAATTTTCTTGGCATTTTCCCATCGAAGGGCTAACTATGACAACTCCCATGGGGCATTCAGACTTTTTACAATACCCGGCCTAATCCTAGGCCTATTTGACTGACCCCACTGGCTTAGTCCACCGTGAGTGTTGACCAAATCCGATAAGTTTTTAACCATGTAGTCCTAACATCTTAAAGATATTGTAAAATTAATTTCATGATGATTGGATAATAATTAAGCCTGTGAGAGAAAAAATCATGAAGTGTTTGATTTTTTTTTAAATCCTTTAAATTGAATAAGTAAATTGTTATTGTTATTGTAATATAAAATAAATTATTATTATTATTTTTTCTGCTTGAGACACAGTGCATGATCTAAAATTTGATAAAATCAGTCTGTTTTGTTCTAAAAGAATTTTGCTTATTTGCTTTATTTCAAAAATACAATTGATTAATAAACCTTGAAACATTGTCCATTATAACTGTAGCAAATATAGAGACCCATAGTAAATTACATTGTATATTGTCCATATAGCTAAATGTGCCCATTAGTAATACGTAAATCATGTATTGTGATTAACCCATTCAATGTACATAGATATAGAACTCTGTCATACCAATATTGTGATTGCTTAACTATGTTATATATAACAGCGCATAACTTGTAATAACGCTGTTAAGGACCAAACTCTAATCTAAACTAAAGAAATATACCTTAGTTGATTCAGAAACTCCACTTTGATTACAGTGTTGAGAGTAATTTGGATTTTGTTGAAACATACAAATTGATTGCTATTGTCCAGTTGACATAGTAAACGAGATTGCGCCCAGGGGTAGTTGCATTGATAGTTCACATAATTGTAGCCGTGTTTATCCTGTCCTGTTTGAGATATTGATCAATAGATTGCTAGTGTCCGGTTGACATAGTAAACCAGATCGCGCCCAGTGCTAGTGGCGTTGATAGTCAAGAAAATCTGAGTTTTACCTGGATAGATACTTGTTCAAGAAATTTTTATGGAGTAGGCGTTTACTACATAACTATCACGAATGTTTTGATCAAAATTACATACAGAACGTAAGGGATGTACTGTAAGTATTCCTTAAATTCTTTTCATGAATTCAAACAACATGTTTTAAAGGAATTAAGTCTTTCCAAAAACTCAGATTTTTTGGATTCCTATATAGCCTTAATTCATATTTCTTTTATAAATAACTATGTTGGTTAATTTCTGAACAGACCTATGGTCCATACATATTAAACTGTCCTATTAAACTCAAAATATAGATCAGTTGAATATGAACCGCTGTTCAGAGAAATATTGCTAGGTAGAGACTATAGAGTTATATAGCTTCTTGTGTTCATAATTACAACTTAAGAGTTCGAGAGAGAGTTGTATCTGGATAGATACAGATTTATGAATATTGGGAGAGTTGTTTCTGGATTGAAACGAGTAAAGTATTATTGGAGAAATTAAGTTGTTAACACCTACTCCATAACAAGTTATTGAAACGTATCTATCCAGGTACAACCCGTCAAAGTCAACCAGTATCCACACGGTTTCAATCCAGCGATCCCAGTAGCTATCAAACCAAGCTATTAATCCAGGCTCCAAATGCCACACAGGGACACAAGCGTAGCTATCAAACAAGCTATTAATCCAGTGCTCTAAATGCGACACAGGGACACAATTTTCATTATTAACTACAGTGAGAGCCAGTAGACCACTTTTAGTTAATTTCTGGTTCCTACAGTAATATTCCATCTATTAATATTTGAAATATGTTTTATATGATGAAGATTGAAGAGAGTCATCTCTAGAATAAATTTATGAATGCTTGAGCATCATTTGATAAGGGTGCAAAATCTCAATTTTCACAGATACAACCTTTGACTGATGAATATTAAATTATAATCAACAATACTTGATATTCTTTATCAGGATTGATCTTTTTTATTTGTTTATATAAATCACAAGTTTGGGAATAATATTCATCAATTTCACCACTCCGTAATTTTCTGAAAAAATCTTCAGATTTTGAAGTTTTTTAATTGTTATGATTAATATATATGTTATGTTTAGGGAACGTTTTAATAAAAAAATCAGTCACAACTCACAACTTGGAAATCGATAAATTTTTTTTTTAAATGACAATCCTTTCAATTGGTTTCTAGTTTACTCTAACTCCGAACATTTTTCCTTCGCAAATTATCAAAAATGGCCATTTAAAATTTCACAAATTTTTTCTGTTTTGATCTTTGAAATTTCGAAAATATTCAAAAATAATGTTTCAGCTTTTTGCCACAAAATCTGATTTTCTAATCAACCCGTAAACCTTTAATATTTTAAAATATAAATTCTCTTACGTTAATTAGTCAAAGTTTGAAATATCAAACGTTGAAACGATATGGAGATTTGAATATTTGACTTTGTGGCTAAAAAGTCAAATATGAATATTATATGTCTTTACTCTTTACATTACAAAAAAATGTATCAATGTTGACAATTTTTTTCTTTATGTGAATAAAACAAATTTATTTCAGGTTAACATTCATAGCGCCATAGTTTCAGTAGAAGTAAATATTTCCATTTAATGTTATAGCGCCGATATAAGGATTTATCTCTGATTGTATAATGAGATAGATAGAAATATATATGTTACCGCCATGCAATTTCTATTGGTTCAGAATAGACAACAAACTCATAACTGAACCCTGATTGGATAGACTCAACATACAGGAGTGATAGTTCGTTATGTCCTATTATAAACAATTTATCTTTAAACTTTTTAACTCTAGTATTTTCATTCTATCAAAGTTTTTAAAATAAAAAAAATTTCGAACAAACTTTTCAAAAAACGACAGTTTTTTACTAAAAGAACGGTTTGACTGAACGATCATTTAATGAGAAAACGAACGATAATTTTGAAAAGGAACGAAAACAATTCACGCTTTGAATCAGCCTATTTCCAATCCCCCTAATCTGCCCCCCTCCACCTCCCCCTAATAGCCTGCCTCTTCCCCTGCATTATTTATCATTTTGCAACTGGTCCGTGTGAAAACAACGGAATATGATTGGCCTCCAGGAATTCGCACGCAAATCTAACCATTAAAAGCAAATATCAACAAGTTCCCTATTTTTAAACACATTGGCCCTTTCTACATGGATCTTACGTATTTTCATTTTGTTCTTCTACTCTATATGTAATAATTTATCAAAGAGCTTCACGGCAAGTTTGAAATGTGAGAATGTTTAATCGCATTTTTTCTTCCAAACTAAATAAGTGTTAAAACACTTGAACTAAATCTGGTTAGTTCTGGAAAACATGATTTTTAAACTGCTTTATACCAGAATTTTCAAACAGGGAATTTGCCAGTTTCTGTGCAATTTATTCTTCGTGCGTTCTTGCAAATAATTCATGCGAAACCTCTCTGCAAAAATATGTCAAAGAGAAATTAAAATTGAAGTTCAGCTTCTTAAAACTTTGAAACCAAGTTAACCAACCTATTAAAAAATTAACCCACTAAAAGGTAAAGCTCAAATTTAAGCCGAACAGCTATCGGAGAATCTAACTCTAACCCGAACCTATCGTAGAAACAAACAATCACCAAATCGAACCTTTCGGAGAATCTAACACTAAATCGAACCTATCAGAGAAACTAATCCCAACCTTTCGGAGAAACTAACACTAACACGAACCTATCGGAGAATCTAACACTAACACGAACCTATCGGAGAAGCAATCACCAAACCGAACCTATCGGGGAATCTAACAGTAAATTGAACCTATCAGAGAAAGTAAGCCCAACCTATCAGAGAAACTAACACTGAACCTATCCTATTGAAGAAACTAACACTAAACCCAACCTATCGGAGAACCTGGTACTAAACCCAACCTATTAGAGAAACTAGTACTAACCCAAACTATCGGAGAAACTAACACTGAACCCAACCTATCGGAGAAACTAACACTGAACCCAACCTATCGGAGAAACTAACACAAAACCCAACCTATTGGAGAAACTAACACTAAACCCAACCTATTGAAGAAACTGGTACTAACCCAACCTATCGGAGAAACTAACACTGAACCCAACCTATCGGAGAAACTAACACTAAAACCAACCTATCGGAGAAAATAACACTAAACCCAACCATTCGGAGAAACTAACACTAAAATCAACCTATCGGAGAAACTAACACTAAACCTAACCTATCAGAGAAACTAACACTAAACCCAACCTATCGGAGAAACTAACACTAGACCTAACCTATCGGGGAAACTAACACTAAACCCAACCTATCGGAGAAACTAACACTAAACCCAACCTATCAGAGAAACTAACACTAAACCTAACCTATCGGAGAAACTGACACTAAACCCAACCTATCGGAGAAACTAACACTAAATCAAACCTATCGGAGAAACTAACACAAAACCCAACCTATTGGAGAAACTAACACTAAACCCAACCTATTGAAGAAACTGGTACTAACCCAACCTATCAGAGAAACTAACACTGAACCCAACCTATCGGAGAAACTAACACTAAACCCAACCTATTGAATAAACTGGTACTAACCCAACCTATCAGAGAAACTAACACTGAACCCAACCTATCGGAGAAACTAACACTAAACCCAACCTATCGGAGAAACTAACACTAAACCCAACCTATCGGAGAAACTAACACTAAACCAAACCTATCGGAGAAACTAACACTAAGCCAAACCTATCGGAGAAACCAACACTAAACCCAACCTATCGGAGAAACTAACACTAAACCAAACCTATCAGAGAAACTATCACTAAACCAAACCGATCTGAGAAAATAACATAAAATCAATTTAAAATTTGAATCTAACATGTTTCATGAGTATCGAGCGCAAATTTAAAATTAGTATTGTGCGCTTCAAGATTTCCTGGCCGCGTGTATATAAAAGCAGGCTAAAATCTTTCTCCTCAATTGAATGCTGGAAGAGTTGAAAGTGTAAACAATATAATTTGCTCTTTATATTCCACAGTTTGAGATATGACGCGTAAGGTAGGAAAATATATAAAATATAAAATAAGAAAATATATAAAATATAAAATAAAAAATAAGTGAAAATGACAAACATAAATTGTTTAAATTCACATTTTTTATGAAACTATTTACATTTGTTAGTTAATGATTTAGAAACGAAACTGATAGATGCATAATTTCAGCTGTTTTGTGATTTTGTGTTTAGAAGTTTGAAATCATCTTTGCAAACTTTTTAATTAATATTTTATCTTCATTTTCTTAAACAATTGATAAAAATTAGTTAACATTAGATTTTTTTAGATGATTACAAAACGGTTTTATTTTATTTTGAAGTGTTATCAAGAAAAGTTTTATCACTAACTCCAAACCTTCGTGTTAAATTGTTTCCTTAATAAACTGAAAAAGGACTGAATAAATTCCTGCTAGTCGTCCCTTAAACTTGCATTATTTGTGGGGTAACTTTATTAAGAACTTTATTGATAAAAATACAAGGTTTATACCCATTTTTTGATTTTTTTTTATCGAAATTGTTGCTCAATCGATTTTTTTCGTGGATATTAAAAAGTTGAAATCATCCATTAACCTTCCCTGGGTCATGTGTGGTCCCACAAAAATTTTGGCCCGATTGGTTCAGCCGTTTTGACGTTTTTTATACAAACATTTTGACAGAAAAGAAAAGTATTTATAATATTAAAAAATGTTGACGAATGAGTACTGCTATGAATTCAAAGATAAAAAAGAGGCCGTTTCGTTTTGTTTCGTTTTGTTTTGTTTTGTTTCGTTTCGTTTCGTAGGACATCCTGTAAATAAGTTCAGTGATCTAGACTCAAAAAAATGTTAAAAAGTTAAACAAAACTGTTCTAAATATAAATTTTGTTGACTTTTTACACCATTTTATTGGACCTCCGTCTGCATAACACAAGAAGGACAGTGCTATGCCATATTTTACGTATTCCTAAAGGGACTGTACGCGTAACTTCAACTAAGATGGCAATGTCTGATTTACAAGAATACTCTTGAAACCTAAAGAATTAGAAGGTATTGTCGTTTTTCTAAGGTTGAAAGTGTTTTTTTTCTGGCGATAATTACTATGTATTTTCCCACAATATTGATACATAATTCTCACTTGATCAGATAAACATTATTTTATCGTTGTGAGTCAGACATTCCATGAAGGGTCATTTGAGATTTTGCTTACAGTCCCTTTAAAAATTTTTATTTAGATGTTCGGCTGTGTTTTGGCTCTGATACTAGTAGCAGCAGCTGCAGCTTCAGTTACAACACATGTTGAAGAATCCTCCATTTTGAATCAGAATTTCAGAAATGTCATCACCTACCCTTCTCCTTTTCGCAGCTTGAACCGTCAACAGCGTGCCGTGAAGCCTGAGCCCAAGGAAAAGCGCAAGCGCCCAATAGTTTCAGGGTATCCAATTTTTTATGGAAATAAGGTCTTCCAAAAACCTGTTAGGAACTAGAATGAATTTGAATGAAGTGTTGCCTTTAATATTCTTTGAAGGCAACAATCATAAATAGATCATGATTAAAACATTTTTGTTGTAATTTTTTCATTTAATTTAATAAATTATTCGGATTAAAATCAATATGCTGTTGGTATAAGTTAAAAGAAGAATTAGTTGTGTTTAATTTTCACATTATGATGGAAAGCAGCAGCAAATTTTAATCAACTTCTTCCAAACAGTGACGTCATAAGATGTCTAACTCAATTGTCTCTCAGGAAAATTGGTTTGATGTTTTCATTCCCAAAAGTAGAGATGAGTATTGTTGTTGTAAATGAACAAAATTTTTATGAACAATTTCTAAATTGTTCATTCGAACAAACCTGAAAAAACGATATGAACAATGTTTTTATACAACATTTAAATAAAAAATGTTGAAAAAAAAATGTCATTAAACTAACGATTTATTGAACAATCGTTCAATGAGAAAATAAAGGGAATAGATGAAAAATTAACGATACTGTTGAGAACGAAATCTATTATTTTTGAACTATTGAAAACAAACTAACAAAGTAAACCTTGAAGCACCCAAGAACAAATAATTCAATGTTAGTATTTGATGTATTTTCAGAAAAGGGAAAGTAAAGTTTTAGAACAAATTCATTCAATAAAAAATTACCAGTATCCACATTCACTTAACTTTCATTTCAATATAACTTTCTGCATATAAAGCTCCAGGATTTTGACTCTTTGTCGAGCAAACACATATTTAGTTCTGCTTCTTTATACATAACCATAAAACTATTTGATATTAAATTTATTTATAAATAAAACTAAATTGATTTTTAATTTTAACGATTGCTTGCCAATTTGGAAACATAATCAAATGGCAAAAATTCACTATTTGCAGTGCACATTGATTTTTAAAGATTTTAACTAACATAGTCTTTACTTAATTAACAAAATACCCACAAAACATTATTACAAAACCTGAGGAAAAAGCACACCAAAATTACCCAAAAAGATACTTTGGATACATTGTTAAAATGAGATTCAAAGCAAATCCTTTAAAAAACTGCCTATAACCAGCTATGCTTAATATTTGAGTACAAAATTAGGGAAATGCACGTTCATGCTCATGATCAAAATAAATGGAAAAAGGATTCCAAATATGAAAACCTTTATAAGTATTATCATTATTGTACATATCATTGTCTGCATCTGTATCTGAATAAAACCAGTTTTTAGGGGGGTTACTGTAGCTGTTCCTACTGGCACCTTTTTCTAGGTCCTCTGGATATCCAGTTCTTTGATAAATATCTGCCAAGCTGTTAAAAGTATTACCAGACTGGAAGAATTTGCCTTTGATATTAGTATGGTCAGAAGCATAGTTGTCCACTTGGTAGCCAGGTGGTCCAGTTAAGTCTGAATAACTATCAACTCTGTTACCAGATGGTACTGCTTCAAAGTAGTTGTTGTAGCCAGGAGACATTTTATCAGAATAGTTGTCTCCTTGGTTGCCAGACAGTATTGCTTTAAAGTAGTTATCTTCTTGATACTCAGGTGACATTATATCAGAAAAGGTATCCGCTTTGTTCCCAGAGTATGCTGTTTCAAAGTAGTTGTCTCCTTGGTAGTCAGAGGTTAAATCAGGGGAGACATCGGCTTGGTCTGTTTCATTGCCAGAGGGTACTTCAAAGTAGTCATCTGCTAGATAACCAGAGGATGCTGCATCAGAATAGGCATCTTCTTGATGACCAGAAGGTGTTATATCAGAATAGATGGTTGCTTGGTTACCAGTGGGTACTGATTCAAAGTAGTCATCTGATTGGGAGCCAGTCAAAGTTGTATCAGAATAGACACCTTCTTGATAGCCAGAAGGGGTTACATCAGAATAGATGGCTGTTTGGATGCCTGAGGATGCTGCTTCAGAGTAATCATCTGCTTGGTAGCCCAAGGATGCTGTATCAGAATAGGTATTTGATGTATAACTGGAAGGTGTTATATCGGAATAGATCCCTGCTTGGTTACCAGAGGGTTCGGCTTCAAAGTACTTATCTGTTTGGTAGCCAGAAGATTCTCTATTATAAGTGATATCTGCTTGTGAATTAGAATGTTCAGAAGTAAGATAATTATCTGAAAGATAACCAAAAGCTGCAGTGTCATGGTAGCCTTCACCTTGCGAGCCTGTGGCTTTACTATCCCCATAACCTTCACCTTGAAAGCCAGTGTCCTCATTATTTCCAAATCCATTTTGAGGGTGAGGGCCTGCACTGTTAATATAACCATCTATGAAAATAGTAGGAGCTGAATCTTTTTGATCAGAGTTTTGTTTAAGGCTAAAGTTATCAGGGTAAAAGTCTTTGGAATGAGGAAACGATATGTATAAAGGAAGGGACTGATGTTTTTTTTGTTTATAATTATTTAAATAAACAGCAGCATTCATTGGACGTTCATAGCTAGGTGATTGGGCATTGTAGGTATCTTCTATTTCTTTATAAGGGTCCACTAACTCTTTATAGTTTGCTGTATTAGATTTTATTCCTGGTCTTGGAGCATAACCTAGGTTTGACATTTTATATCTATCTACTGTTATTGGGGTTCGATAACCAGAAGTGTATCTAATCCCATAGCCGTAGGTAGGTGGCTGTCGGGGTAAAATATAACGTGCATCAACTTTATCCTCCTCCTCAGTACCTGCTGCCAAAAATGCAGGAACAAACAACCCTAAAATAGAAATGTATTTGTATTTTCTACACATGTGAGGAGTGAAGTTCAAAGTAATTATTTTTTCTTCTCTCTGAACTTCTATTTTAGAAAGAATTTGCGGATCCTCCCCATGATCAAAAATAAAAGTGAGTCCAAATGTTCTCAATTCAACCTAGAAAGCAATGAGATAGCATTCAGATAGACAATTGAAGATCACATTAACTGAAGCTTCAGGGAAATCATTTTTACAATATCCCTGAAGCGAGCTGGGAACTCAATTAGCATTAGATATCGCACATGGTAATTGTACACAGTCAATGGTTGAAGGGAACTTTGATCAAGGAAAAATTGACTAAAATTAAGATGTGAAAAGGCATTCCTCAAACTAAAATGGCCTGTAGTGGATATCACAATTAAGCAATCAGGATTATGAGTATCCAAAACAAAAGTTTCCACTTCTAATGTCCTTAAGTATATTGAAATATTATGAGATATGTAGGTGGGGCAACTAGCCTTGAAATCACAATAGGATTTCTTTAAAAATGGGTTAATTTCAATTTTTAAAATTATCTTGACTTTTTCTAAATAAATTATATCCTTAGAACTGACGAGGGTCAACCCGGACCAAAATATATATTCAATAAATGTGGAACTACCATCTATTTTTTATTCTACAGAGGTTTGGTCCATCACCATCACCGAATTTTAAAAGTGGGTATACTGTTATTTATCATGGAACCCTATTAAATTATTACTTAAAGAGTAAGAGCATTGTTTTGACCTGCCGTCGTAGCTCCAATAATAGCTGTAGGAACTGCAATAGCAGCAATACCAGCAAGTGCTGTCAAGCTTGAGGGAGGTATTCGAATGACATTGTTGCCTGCCCCCACTGCCAAATTACCTAAAAATAAAAATCTAGTTGGGTATAATTTTTTTAATCTCATCAGCAAATTTCCTTTTCTTGTTTTTAAAAATGTTTAACAGAGTTCAAAGTTATGTGTTCAAAATTATGTGTTCAAAGTTATGTGTTCAAAGTTATGTGTTCAAAGTTATGTGTTCAAAGTTATGTGTTCAAAGTTATGTGTTCAAAGTTATGTGTTTAAAGTTATGTGTTTAAAGTTATGTGTTTAAAGTTATGTGTTTAAAGTTATGTGTTTAAAGTTATGTGTTTAAAGTTATGTGTTTAAAAAGCTATAAAATGGTTTGTCCACAAAATATTAAGAGTTTAGATGAGGATAAAACCTGAAGGATTTTTCAAATTGTTAATTAACAAAAAATGAGGTTTCTTAATTATGGTCCATATGTATAATTCTTCAAAATGTAAACTTATGTGGCACTAAAAGCTAGACAAAAGGAGGAGGTCAAATTTATTCGACGTAAATGGTACTGACCTGTTAGCTCCTTTAGTTTCGATTTTAGGCATAAGAATGAGAAGAAAATAAATTATTCGGTTACATTTTCAAAACCTTTCATTTTCTCAATAGCTTGTCAATTAGAGGAGTATAATTGAAAGCATATGAGATTTCAATCTTACGAGTAATGTATTTTAGTTTAACATGATGGAATCATCTCAAAGGAAAAAAAACATTGTTTAAAAACAAGATGGATGGGATGCTTTGCATGACAAATAAACCAAAACTGTCATCCATGGTGGTTCTCTGATATTTTTGATTTGCTTATATTTCAGTTAAAAGTTTGCAATAAATATATTATTAGTTAAGATAGATTGGGAAATTTACATCTTAAGCAAAATCGCCATTCATATGAACTTTTCAGAGTAGGTTTAGCTGTGACTCGAAACAGGCGCGATCTCTCATTTCGCTGAAACACTTTTTGATTTTTGCAGGCTGCAGGGAAACAGAAAACTCTTCCAAAATAATTTTAAGCTCTTCATCAGTAGCAGGTTGAGTTGAGCAATAACTGTAACCTGAAGGCTCGGCGAACCTGAAGCTCACTTCAAAGTTTTCCATATCCCAGGATAATCCAGATTTTCTACTCTTCAGTAAAAAGGCTATTTCACCTATCAATTCTGACTGGAGTCATTTTTTTCAACCAGAACCTGAAATGTCCCTTCAGGCTAGTCAATTTCCCGTATTTTTAAACCCAGTTTTGCGCATTTTTCAATAAAATTTTAGCTAATCAAAAATATCAGTTGTAGAGAAACACCCTGTATATTTCATTTTCAAATCAGTGTTACATATAATCTTTGTTTTATTGAATCACAATAATGTTAAAAAGAGAAAAAAATATAAAAATATATAAAGAACACAACTTACCAATATTATCATTATTATCATTATTTCCAAAGAATATAGGAGCTGTTAGTCCAGAGGATAGAATGAAACTGCAGAGGAATGTCCGCAAGGTCTAGACACATAAAAAATATTTTTAAATATTTTAAAGGAACTGTAAACGTAATTCCATCAATTCTTCATTTAAGATGGTACCCCTTAAACCTATGTTTGATCAATGAAGACTGAGATATCGTTTTTTTCTCTAGCTAAAACCAGTGGACTTCATTTGCACGGAATTTCAGCTGGAAAATAATCTTCATCGTCGCATGAGCAGACGAAGGTTTTAACTTTAAAGGGGAAGGATTTGAACGAATGCCATTCTATAAATATAGGTTAACGTAGAAACTTACAGCAATACCTAAAAAACTGTGGAATATGAAGACGACATTAAAGCCATACCTAAGTGCATTTGCTGTTGTTTAAAGCAAAAAGCTTTCCCAGTAAGTTATTAAATCACTTATTAAGTGAATTGGGTCTGTTTACACTGCACAAATGCTGTGCAGCATAATCATTGGACAATGTCCTGCACATGACTTCCTATTTCAGAGTTTTCTGGTTATCACCGTATAGATTTTTTGGGATTTGAAACTTTGGAACTGGGTGCCCCGTGCGCACAATGTTTTATGAAAGGAGAAAGAATTACCAAAAAAGAAATAAAAAGAAATAAAGTGGGTGTTATTTTATTTTTAAGCATGAAACCATGTGTTACTTAAAAGTACGGTGGTATGCAATTATATCAATATAATAAAGACGACTTTCGATTTTAATTTTGATTATTATATTGATATTATCGCCTACCACCGCGCCGTATGACATAAAGATATTAAAAAAAGAGACACGTTTAACAATAAGACAAATATACCATAATTTAGATAAAAAAGAACATTGAATTCTAAAGGAATTGAGTCTTTGACACAAACTAAAATTTTCTAATTCCTATATCTTTGGAATCTAATGACGTACACATTTTGTATTTCAAAACTTAGTTTATTTGATCTAACAGGATTCATGGTTTGAAATTTCGTAATTGGGGTGCACAGATATTGGAATAAAAAAATTTTTGGCAAAGACTACTTTCCTCAAAACACAAAAACTTTTATAAATGCTTTTAGAAACTCCCACGTAATTTCAAGTGACCATTTAATAAAAGAGAAGTTTATCTGATAAATAATGAAGAAAATGATGTCGAAAAGTTTGTCAACTTCCCTTACTTGTTCATGCTGCATACATCCGCAAATAACTTACAAGCGTTCACCCCAATTGATATAATTTTTGTAATTTTTTGTTCGAAATTTGTTTATTGGAGGGTTACTTTTATACTTTTATACTTCAGTCGGCAGTATTTTTAGGAAGAAATAAAAACCATGTTAAAAACTGCAAACCCAATTACTATCCTACCATTATGATGATAAATAAATAATTGTATAGAGAAACTTTTAGAACTGAGGGGTTAGCAGTAATATCCGAACACTATATAGACATTTAGAAACAGGGGTCTCAAAAAAACATGTTTTTTTTACTAAAATTTTATCCCTTTCAATCAAAGTTACGTTTTTTAATAAAAGAAATGTATGTGCTTTTTATCGACAATAAAGTTTAATTGTTTAACAGAATAAATGATCAATGGCATCATTTAGTCTTAAATTAGCCGGATACAGGATTTTTAACATAAAAAACTACTACATTTATTTAAATGTCATCAATATATATATTTGACAAATTTAAGTCGAGTTTTTTATTCTCGTATATTTTACTTAATTCAGTCTATTATTTCAATGTTTAGTGGGACAACCTCTCGTAAAGTTCCAAAATCTGCAAACTCATATTATTTACAAACAATTTTTCTTGGAACGTTTTCGTTCAGTATCTTGAATACCCTTGGTATCCCCCCTACAGGTTTCCAGAAATTGAGTTTTACCCCCCCCCCCCTTATATAGAATATGTAAACAGCAAGAATAGAAGAGTAGCAACTTTATGGTACGGGGGTCGTGCTATAAGCCATTAGATTACTATAGCTAAGGTCGAATATTTAATTAATCCTTGGGATTGTCACATTCTAAGAGTTTTCGGTCGTCTTTACAGTTTTCAGTCGTCTTTACAGTTTTCGGTCGTCTTTACAGTCTCATTCTTTGTGGGTAACCCTGTATAAAAAATAAAACCAAAACTGGGCCTAGAAACTTTACCTGTTTCTTTCACAATTAAACAAAAGTTTTAAATCATTTCGAAAGTTTACAAGAAAAGATTTAAAATTTGTATGTTTTTGCACTCTCTCAGCATAGTTTCGCAATTTTCCTAAAAGATAATAGATAAAGTATCAATTATAGTATTAAGAGGATTGAACTACGGCATCAAGTCTGAACACTATTATTTTAACAAAACAAATTCGTGCAGTTGTCTCAGCAGTCTGAAATCATAGAATCTAGTTACTATTAAAAAAAATATGAAAAGGATGTTTTAAGAAAGTAAAAATTAAATAAAAGTTTTTCGTCCAATATGAGTCAAAACCACTCAATTGATCTAACACAAATTCAGGGTTGAGCCAGGGAAGGGGCCCTGGAAAATTTCTCACTCCTGAGTCATTAGTTTTAGAGATGAGCTACGGAAACTTGAGATAAAATTCTGAAATTCCAAAGTTAGTCACATAATTAATAATTATTATACAAACATTTAAAAAAATCTTCATAGCGATTTTAATGGAGTCGAAAGTAAAGTTTTTATTTTTATATTCATTCTTACTGATAGTAAAGCCATGTTGTGAAGAAATTTTGTTGTGTCTTAAAAATACAAAATTTTTCTTTTTTCAGTCACCTGGAACTCTTTAATTTGATGACTTTAACTAAATAAAATCTGTAGTAAAGTCGTCTTTACGTTATATCCTTTGCATCCTGTGGCGAATGCAAATATATTGGAAAAACTCCGCGCAAAATCAGTTTCGCTCACTCCTTATATAATCCTATATCCACCCATGTCAGATTGCTCATACACTCTACCTGGATAGGCTGAGCAGGCCTTTGGTGTCTTGGCACGACATGCTACGGTTTTTTGACTGACATCTTACGGCCACTTGATACATTCAGGGGTTAATTTTTACAGCTTTTAAAGAAAAACTCCAATTTTAAACATAGAACATAACGTTTATAAATATTGTCTATTTTCAAAGATTTTGCATTTCGCATCCAAAGGATCCTTAAATATCCCTGAATACAGATGTCTCCTGATTGGTCGCGTACAGTACTTGTACACAATAGAACATGCTGTGGAAAATAGCGCATATTTTAGCTGATAATCGATCTCTGTAATTCTTTTATCTCTGATTTTACGTTTCACCATCAAAGTGATCGTACACGCACCTCTGCCCCTTTAGTAAAAGTAAATTCAACCAATATGAAACATAAAGTCAGACCGCGTCAACCTTTTTGCACCGGCTAGTCCTGTCCATAGAGCTAGTACAAACTTGGACCAGAAAGGTTGACCCGGCTCGGAAATTCAAATGTACTACAGGTGCCCGTGCAAGCGTAATTGCAAGGGACCTTCCATGACAAGACGGCAATGCCCGATTTACAACTGTAACCTTGTAAACGTTATCTGATCAATAACGTATAAGATATTGTCGTTTTTCTGTGTTAAATGTCTTGAATGTTGTGAATGTCTTTTTCCATATGCTGTATTAGTTATTAAAGACTTTTTGCAGTTTATTTAGTTTAAAAAACTTTACTCAAATATATTTTACTTAGAAATTAATTTTACTATGATATGGATACCATAAAATAATTAGTTTTATTCTCTTTGGCAACAAACAACTTCAAATATTATGGAAGAAGACATTTTAAACTATTCAACAACTTTCATGTTTCGTGGGACACCCTGTACTAAAAATTTAAAGTTATTCTTATGTTTAAGATTTTTCTTGATATAATCCAGTAAGAATATAAATTAGTTCGGCAACCATCGAGAATAGTATCTAAATAATAATATAGAAGAGAAGTTGAAAGGTCGTCTTTGATTTGATTGCTATTATAATACCTTAGTCTACAGAAGTCGCAGAGTTTTGATTTCGTTGTAAACAAAATTTTAAGTGACCCTAGATTTTTAAGATGTCTGATACACAATGGTACCTTACAAACAACCGCTTCCAGAGTAAAAATTAAAAAGATAGCGCGGTTAGTACTTTTATATTGTTAAAACTAAAAAGAAAAGGAAACTTTACAAATACTATTGTAAAATACTATTGTAAAAT